TTTTTTCACAATTCCTGGTAGTATTGAAAAATACTGTCCTTTACCCTGATTCTTAGGCTTGTTTTTTGTTCTTGTTTATTTGTTTTATTTTGTTTTGTTTTTACATTTAGGCCTACTGCTATTCAATTCATGTAGTGTGGAAGTTCTTCTTTTATCTCCATTTTATATCTTTTTGCCTCATGTTTGGCTACCCTTGTTCTGTTAGTGCAATCCTCTATTCATTATTTTGTTTTTGTTCCCATATGCAATCTCATAATGTCATTTATTGTATGTGTATATCCTGGATAATTTTTTTATTATTATTCTGCTTTTTAAATATTTAATTACAGAAGAAGTAACGCTTTATTGTTGGATGTATTTATTTATTTATTGTTTAATTTATACAAGGTGCCATAAAGTATTTTTAAATGTGTGTTTTCTAAATTTTATTCTTAATGTCTTCATGTTCAGTGTTTTTACATGTACATGTATATACTTATTTTATTAATTTGTTAATTTCCCACATCTTGATGTGGGGAGACAGGTCTGTGACCACAGTGATTCCGTATTACTTTTGTCTCCCCTATGCCCATCTTGCTTGTGATGTATATTGAATTTTTGGCAGGAATAAATAATAATAATAGTAAAAAGCCTTTATACAGGCTTTATGTATATTTAAATTTCAAAGCCTACATGTGTGTTTATCCAAAATGATCAAATTTTATGAAAAAAACAATTATTGACACAGTTGCAGATCCCATCATTGTCAAACCCGGCACAAACATATTTGATTAAAGTAAACTTCACCTGGTCTTGTTCTGTCCGCAGCTGACATGGCTGAGGAATATGAGCTGCTTCGGGATGTTGTCAGCTGATTTCCAATGGGTCCTGCAAGTACAAGGATTATTCTTTATATATGTAAGTTTGTAAAATCAACTTGCCACTTGGCCCATTTATTTTAAAACTTACCGGTGATTGGTCTGGGTAGTCCTATTCGATATGCACTTTTTGATGTTAAAATATCAGGAAAAAAATCACGTTATACATGTATGTCATTCCTCTGTCATACAGAATTTAAAGCATGCATGTCCACTATCAAGAAAAGGTAAGATTAAATGGAGTGCCCCTCGGTGATTAAAAGAGGGAGCCCATACATCTTTCATCATTCCTCATGAATGAAAATAAAAAATGGCCATAAAAGGTCTTTATTGTACCAGTTGACTGTTGTAATTTGAATGTGTAACTGCACAAGACTTTGATATGCATGAAAAAAAATTAATGTACCTTGTGCTACATGACCATCAATTTTGCTGAGGTAGCCACCAACTATATATAACAGGTTTTGCCCTTACCCAACTTATATATTAATAAGCCCTGCATACTCAGTGCTTGTCCGAGAGGTTGCCAAAAAAAAAAAACCTCAAAAGCTTACTCGGGTGGGACTCGAACCCACAACCTCCTGCTTACTAGTGCAAATGTCTTAACCAC